GACAAGTGGAAGGAGCATCTTAGGATGATGAGTGTATTTACTTGACATGTAGTGACAGTTTCAGTGTGTAAGCGCTAACTCAGGTGAACCGGCACACTTTCAACTTAGTTTGTTGAACATCAAGGCTGTGGGAAAGATTTTAGGTCTGGTAAGGAGACGCCTGTGCTGAGCAGTGAAAAGTTAGTAGTACATACATTTTTCCAGAGAGGAGTTGTAAGGGCCAAGGTGCAGTGGCTTTATTCTGGCTTAGTCTGATATAGCAGAGACCTGTTGGGAATGCATTCATTTAGACACAGAAAAAGGTCTGAAACTAGGGAAAAGATCTAGGAGTCTTTGTTTCTGTGTCACCTTGGTTGTCCTGGACTTGCTTTGTAGACCAAGCTGGCCTCAAATTTACAGCAATCCACCTGCCTTCAAGAGTGGCTAGATGGTTGGGAGCCACCCTATGGTTGCTGGGAATTGAACAAAGGACCTCTGGAAGAGCAGCAGTGTTCTTAACCGCTGAGTCATCTCTCCAGCCCCCTCCTGCCCAAGTGTTCTTATGGCCACATACTTGAAAACTAAGCTGATAGGGACTGAGGTCCACCTGGTTAAGGGCTCTGTGAGGACAGGCCCACACCGAGGTTGTGAGCCAACCAGTGGCCACTGTTCAAGAACTAACAGGTCTCCTGGTGTGAATGAAAAGCTCTGTCCAGAAGCACCATACTTTCCTTTTTTCAGTTCAAACATGTTCACTACTGGCAGGAGGACACAAACTTAAGGCTTGAGAGTGAAGGGTGGGAAATGTTTACAGGAAAACCCACATGCTGCTGGCAGTAAATGGTAAGAAAAGACTGAGCAGAGGTGACCCCTGCTCAGTTCTGTTTGAACCCTGATTAACTTCTGAGTCCTGGGCACACCTGCTTTAGATGAGATTATATCTATGTTTTTAGCAGGATCAGGAGAACAACCCACTATGTGTTGCTAAGGTTCTTGTTTCCCCATGATTTTCTGACATAGATGCTGGTTTTCTAGGAGGGATGCTATGAAGAGGCAACCCTGCCACTGGTAACACACCCAGCAGGCAACTTTACAGTGTGAACTGTGGGAACTACACACGTACTCAAAGAGCTTGAAAATGTTCCTTTTAGCTCCATTACAAAGACTATGTTCTGTCCACACAACGTGCTGGTGGGATTTGTGAGCAACCATGAGTGAACCTTCCCTGCTTGGACCAGGCAGGCTGGAGCCCAACTTTAAATGCTCCTGAAATACTATCAACTTACTAGTTAGGTAGCATGCTCATGGCGTTCCATTTCCCACCTCCTCCTGTCACCGATTAATCCACTTATTTCATCACCTTACACATATTTCCTGTAAAACTGTTTCAGATCCTTCTTAAAATAAAAAAAAAAAAAATCTTTAAAACCTTAAATGTATGTCTCTGTGTGGGGGTTTGGCCTTCAGAGGCCAAAAGCTTGTTAGATCTTCTGGAGCTGAAGTCTCAGGTGGTTGTGAGCAAGCCGAAATGGGTGCTAGAACTGACCTTGGGACTCCTGTAAGAACAGTACCTGCTCTGACCACCGAGCCATTTCTCCAGCCATCCTCCCCAATAGCCTCCATTAAGACTTTTCTCAGCCAATGTCCTCTTTCAGCCCTAGTGCATATGGAGATGGATTTTCCCTAAACTCAAGGATATTCCTGCTAGATGCCACTAGAATAGACTGACAGTGAGTTTCAAGCCCTGGATGTGCTTAAAACCCAGGTGGCCTTTAGCAATTTTCTCAACTTTTTCCACCTGGTTTCTTTCCCTGTAAAATGATAGCTCAGTGCTGACTCCCGGAAGAACTACAGGTCTTCTCTACCAAGAACTACAGCTTTACTTAAAAAAAAAAAAAAAAAAGAAAAGGAAAAAAGTTAGCAGGTCACTGGCTGGCCTGTTACCCTGAGTTTCTGCCCAGGGCAATGGCACATCCCTGCAATCCATGCAAGGAACTCTGGTAGTCATAAGGCTGAGGCAGGAGCATGAGTTGGAGGCCAGCTTGCATACACAGTGAAAAACTCTTTGCAAAAACAATTACGATTTAAAAAAATAGCGAGTGTGCCTGAGTGTGTGTGGGCATACACGCTACGATGCTCCTGTGGAGGTCAAGGGACAACTGTGGAGTGAGTTCTCTCAGGCTTCACAAGGATGCCTAGACTCAGACTCAGGTCCCCAGGGTTGTGTGGCAAATGCCTTTATTCAAGAATTCTTTTTTCTTCCTTTCTTTTTTTGGGGGGAGGGGGGTTTGAGACAGGGTTTCTCTGTGTAGCCTTGGATAGCCCAGATTCACTTTGTAGACCAGGCTGGCCTCGAACCCACAAAAGACTCGTGTGCTTCTGCTTCCCAAGTGCTGAGACTACAGGCATCTACCACCTTGACCAGCTTAAATTTAGGTTTCAATTAGATTTATCTGCCTGATTTTTTTTTCAGTTAACAAATATGCACATAAATGATGTACCTGGCACATACAACTTGATTTTACTCCCTTTGTAACCTGATTTTTACCTAGAAGGACATTTCTTTGTTATCCCTGCCTATTAAAATGCAACCATTTCCTAAAACTCACATCAAAACTTCTTTTTAAGTTGTAACTAATCTCTTGTTCTCAAAAATCTACTCTGGCACATTGTTTTTTTTTTTTCTTTTCTTTTCAATATCACTAACGTGTGGGGGCTTAGGTTCCAGGACACATATGTGGAGGTGATAGGCCAACTCCCTACAGCCAGTTTTCCTGGGGGTTCAGGAGTTGAAGTCCGGTTGCCAACCTTTTGTGAGAAATGTCTTCACCCAGTCAGCCATCTCCCTAGCCCAAGACTTTTAAAACTCCTGTTTCAACATTTGATTTATAATCTCTTGTCTCTTTAGACCTTACAAATCTTTAGGCTTTTTAAACATTTGTTCTAGTTTGTATCTTTCTTATCTCATCCCCTGAGTTCTAAGCTCTCAGTTTGTAGACTATTTTTTCATATGCCCAGAAAAGCTGGCATGTAGCTGGTAAACATGGAATATTACTTTGAACTTTCCCCGCTAACAATTCTGAGTTCGTACAATACTTCTGGCTTGCTTGGGTAAACAGTCATTTCTTTCTCTGATAATCTTCATTTTTCACATTTTGAAACAAGGTCTCTCTTAAGCCTGGAACTTACCACACAGCCCAGGTATGCTTCAACTTTGTTTTACAGCTTTCTGATCTTGCTGTGTCAGCCTTCCAAGTGCTGAGAGGTGAGTCACCACACTCCCTAGATCTCAGATGCTTAAGCTGGCTTCAGGCTGTGCTCCGATGAATAAACCACTGGCTGGAGTTAAAAGGGACAACAACAAATAATACAAGATGACACACCCAAAATGGTACACTTAAGGCTAAAATGGAGCCTAGGAGAGGAGCATCATTCAAGTCGGCCTGTTTCCGGGAGTCCTCGGGCATCTCTGTGGGCAGGTTTCCTTCCCTGGCCTTTCGCCACTCCACTCCAAAGAAGGTCTGGGCAGGGATGCTTAGAAAGGAGTCCGGAGCAGACAGACGCGCAGGGACCTTGGGATCAGAGGTGACCAACACAAGTGAACCCAGGCAAGCGCATGACAAGCAAACCACCCTCCGACTCTTCCACTTCCTGGGGGGATGGGGTAGGTGCAGGGGGCTGCCCGGGCCGGCCTCCGAGGGCCCGGGTGTAGACGGAGTCGGGGACACCGAGAGGCCTCCGAGGCCCTGCAAATCGGGACAGCGGCCTGTAGGCCTGCGAGGCCGGCGGACCGCCGAGCCAGGTGACGCCGCCGCCGCCGCCGCCGCCGCCTGTCGGGCCGCGCATGCGCACCTCGGCGCCCCCGCCCCCACTGCCCGCTCCCAACGCCCCCGCCGCGGCCCGCGGGCCATGGAACCCGCCGAGGCCGGCGCGGTCCG